TCATCATCATCATCATCATCACCACCACCACCACCACCATCAGCAGCAGCAGCAGCAGCATCATCATCATCATCATCATCATCATCATCATCATCATCATCATCATCATCATCATCATCATCATCATCATCATCATTATCTCCTCCCTCCCCCCTGCTCCGTCCTCCCTCCTCCCTCCTCCTCCTCCTCCTCCTCCTCATCCTCATCCTCCTCCTCATCATCAGCATCATCAGCATCATCATCATCAGTATCATCAGCATCATCAGCATCATCAGTATCATCAGCATCATCATCATCATCATCATCATCATCATCATCATCATCATCATCATCATCATCATCATATGTCTCCTCCTCTTCCTCCTCCGCACCCGCCTGCTCCTTCTCCTCTTCCTCCTCCTCATCCTCCTCCGTCTCCTCCTCCTCGTCCTCCTCCTCCTCCTCCTCCTCCTCCTCCTCTTCATCATCGAAGCCATCATCAACATCATCATCAGCAGCAGCATCATCATCAACAACATCAACATCATCGTCAGCATCAGCATTAGCACCATCATCATCAGCCTCATCATCAGCAGCATCAGCATCAACATCATCATCGTCAGCATCATCTTTATGTTGAGCATCATCAGCATCATCAGCAGCATCATCATCCGCAGCACCATCATCCTCACCATCAGCATCATCATCCTCATCAGCAACATCAGCATCAGCATCATCAGCATCATCATCATCGTCATCATCATCAACAGCAGCATCATCGGACTCATCATAATCCTGATCATCATCATCATCATCAGCATCAGCATCATCATCATCCTCATCATCAGCATCATCATAATCCTCATCCTCATCCTCATCCTCATCCTTATCCTCCGCCGCCTCCGCTTCCTCCTCCTCCGCCTCCTCCTCCTCCTCCGCCGCCTTCGCCGCCGCCGCCGCGTCCTCCTCCTCCTCCTCCTCCTCATCATCATCATCCTCCTCCTCCTCCTTCCTCACTCCTCCTCTTCCTCCTCGTCCTCCTCCTCCTCGTCCTCGTCCTCGTCCTCCTTACTCCGTCACGTTCCGCGCCCCGCGGCGAGACGGCGGTTCCTCGCGCCGCACCGGGCGCCACGCGGAGCAGGGCCGGCTGGGCGAGGAGGGGGGGCGCTTGTAGCCCTCCTGGACGAGCTGGTGCGCGCGAGCGATGAGGTCCTGGGCAGGGCGGGGCACAGGGAGGGGGGAAGTCCAGGGGGGCCGGGGCGAGGAGGAGGGAGGAGGAAGGGAGGAGGAGGGAGGAGCAGGGATGAGGAGGGAGGGACAAGCTAGGTGTGCTCGCGTCATATCTGACGTCCTACCCCTCCCTCCCATCCCTTACCATGGTGTAGGTATCCTCTCTCTATTCGCAAAGCCGGATGTCGTAGCATGGCATAGCGTTACGTGGCATAGCATGGTGTTGAAGATCAACGCGTAGCATGTCATAGCATGGCGAGGCGACGCCCCAAAGTGGGGAGGGGGGGCTTCTGCGGCCCAAAAAAACAACGAATCGGCACCGAATGTGTAATCACTTCCGATGTTTATCGGAGGGCATTTTCTAGATTTTGGGGCCTTCTTGGAGGGACCGAAAAACCATGCCGTGGCATGGCTCTGGAAATCAGAACGCCAACGCTGTAGCGGGAGCACGATTCGGAACGGGAGCACGATTCGGAACGAGCAGAAGCGCGGAAATGAAGCCAACGCTGCAGCGGGAGCACGATTCGGAACGAGCGGAAGCCCGAAAATGAGGCAAACGCTTCAGCGGGAACAAAATTTTAAACGAAAAACCAAAACCCAACTCCCAGGAATCCTGTGAAAAAAAAACCATACGCAGAGGGGGGCCGGAGATCTTCCAGACGTCATCAGGGGAGAGAGGGAGTAGTATTCATATTGTGTAATCGGGGAGGGGGGGGGAGGGAGGAGGGAGGAGGGAGGGGGGAGGAGGGAGAGGGAGAAGGAGGAGGAAGAGAAGGAGGAGGAGACCTTTGGAGACCTTTGGTTTGGGACACAGTCCTCTCCTCTACGCTCTTACGGGTGCGGAGGCCTTCCAGACCTTTTTACGGGACCAAGCAGGGGGCGACAGCCCCTGCAGGGCACCCCGACGGGCCTCCGCACCGTACAAATAGTGCTTGCACTGCGCCCCCACGGCGCCAACCCGAAGCAGCCCCAGGGGAAGCGCGGATGTCTTCGCACCCCCGCGCAGCCCAGAGGGCCAGGGGTCCACAAGTGCCAAGCACAGTGTGCGCCACGAGCCCCGCTTACGTTTTGCGCCAGTAGTCCTGGATCTCCTCCAGCGCGGACTCCAGCTGCTGCAACGTCTTCGCGGTCTCGGTGGCGAGTGAGAGGCTTACGATGCTCTCCTTCCCCACGCAGTTGCCGACCTTGTCGTGCTCCTGGTAGTCCTCGGATTTTCCCGTCTTCCTCTTGTGCTCCGCTTCGCCGTCCTCGGTGTTGGGCCCCTCCTTGCCGTCTGCCTCGGTGTGGACGTCGAACCCCTGGGCCTTCAGGGTGGCCTCGTGCTGCTCTTCTGCGTCCGCCGCCTCCTCGAGCGCCGCGTCGTGCTTCTCCTGGGCCTCCTTGAGGCGGTGCTTCGCCTGCTGCAGCTCCACAGCCGCCTGGTCCAGCTCGAGCTTCTTCTGGTCCTTTTTCCAGGTCGCTTGGCGCAAGGCTGCCTCCAGGGAGGCCTTCTCCTTGTCGGTGTCCGTGGCTTGTCCCTTCTCAGACGTGTCCTCATACTCCGTCGAGCCGTCCGCGTACTCCTCGATCTCCGACTCGTCCCGCTCCTCCGTCTTGGCCACCTCGGCCACCGGTGCGCGGCGCAGCGCCGCCAAGACCTGGGACGCGATGCGACCTGGCGGGTGCGCGACCGCCCGCCGCTCGTCCCGCCACAACACGAACTTCTTCGCCACATCCGCCGCTCCCTTGCGGACGAGCGCCGACCGCACGTCCTCGGAGGTGATCTTCTTGTCCAACTTGAGGATGGCACCCGCTTCGCTGAGCACCTTCTGGAAGTGTGTCAGGTGCTCGCTCCCGTTGATGGCCTCCTGGGTCGCGCCCGAGTCCATCCTGGCGAGCCGGTCCATGATCTCCGCCGCCTCCTTGGCCGTGGCAACGTGGGCGACAGTGCTGCCGTGCCGCACTGTGATGCCTCGCCCCATGCCGCAACCTGACTGCGCGCCCCGCGCGCCCGAGTGACTCTGGGAGCCGCCGCGCCTTGAGCCAAAATGGCTACGGAGAGAAGGAGGAGGAGGAGGAGGGGGGAGCAGGAGGAGGAGGAGTAGGAGGGAGGAGGAGGAGGAGGAGGAGGAGGAGGAGGAGGAGGAGGCCGAGGGGTGGAGGAGCGAGGATTCCCAGGGGGGCAAGGCGGGCGGGGACCCGAGGTGGGCCCCATGAAGGTCCCCCAAACAAGCCTCTGAGCGGTCGGTCTGCGCACCCATTCTTGCCGTACCCATTCCAATCGTACAGAAAAAAACTAGCATGGGGGAGACGGGCCCGAAGGAAACGGGTCCTGGATCCCGGGTCCCTCCCCCATTACAAGATCTTCGTCCTGAATCGTTTTCTGCCGGCCCCCTGGAGGAGGAGGAGGAGGAGGAGGAGGAGGAGGAGGAGGAGGAGGAAGAGGACGAGAAGGAGGAGGAAGAGGAGGAGGAGGAGAAGATATAGGATGTGACATAGGAGGAGAAATAGGAGGAGGAACAGGAAGAGGAGGAGGAGGAGGAAGAGGAGAAGGAGGGGAAATGAGGAGGAGGAGGAGGAGACATAGAAGGAGGAGGAGGAAGAGGAATAGAAGGACGAGGAGGAAGAGGAACAGGAGGAGGAGGACGAATAGGAGGAGGAAAAAGAGGAGGAGGACCATGAAAAGGGGGAAGAGGAAGAGGAGGAGGACGTGGAGGGCCCCGCGGGTCCGTGGCCATTTTGGCTCAAGCCGCGTTCCGCCACACAGGGTGGCATTCCTGCGGCATTCGGGCGGCTGCTACGCGCGCAGCCGGGCTTCCCTCTGCGGGCAGCCGCGCCACCACATTATCGCATCATGGCCATGAGCCGCCATGTTCTCATCAACGATAGGGTTTGGCGACCTCGCGACGGCGTACTCAATGGGAACATATGCGCAGCAAGAGGCAAAACAACGTTCAACACAGCCATCCACTGGATGCGCACACTGAAATACATGTATTCCCCCGCCAATCATACCAAACGTTCAAATGTTTCGTGCCCCCGCACTCAGCCATTATCTGCCGCCGTCATTGTATACACCAAGACTTCAGGCAGATGCAAAAAGTAGATGCCTGACACAAACTTCGACCACCACACCAATAATCAATACAGCTGCACCGCTCTCTGCAATCAGTCCAGAACGCGCTGTGTTTGTATCTCTGCCTTTTTCGCTTCCTCTGAGACAGTTGATTACAGCAAAGACAGCTGGGACACTCTGATGTCAAGGCCAACGGACACTATTAAAATACGAAAGTTCCAATAGAGCAGGGGAGGAGTTTCCCAAGGAAGGTGGAGGCCTCGAGGCGCTGTTTTGACAGTTATCGGACACCCACGCAGCTGACGTTTCTTGTAAAGCTGATTGCGCAAATGCGGTGAAAAGTTGTTGATCACATGCTGCAGCGGCAAGGGAAGGTGGAGATACCGAAGCGGTGTCCACGAGACCCTCGAACACCGACAGCCAAGCTGAAGCTGACAGTCCAAACGCAGAAGAACCAGGAAATAGCATTGATCTTACACGTATCTAAAAATTCCCGTCGTCCCTGCAGCCGCACTTACCGTCGCCCCAGCAGCCGGCTTACCACTATTTGCTCAACGCGCATGGCAATATGTGCGATGAAGTCGACGACATTTCTGACAAGTTGCATACGTGGTACCGCCAAGCCATTGGCACTATCCAAGAAGAAGAGGAGTGAACGTATACAATTCATTGTGAATATACTGCGAAACGAAGGTGAGCACACAGAAGATCAGGTTTGCCAGTGCCTCACAATCGGAGATGGAATTAATCCATGCAGTGAAAACGTTGGTACAGACAGTTTACACTCAGCGCTCCAATGCAAGCACGAAGAGACAGGTCGATGTTGTTGCACAACTATACTCACTTTCATATCATACGTTGCAGATTCGTCCTTCGCCATCTGCGAATAAAGCCCCGTTCTTCTGGTCTCCATGTGTCCACCGAGCCAGCCTGATGGCGGGAGCGGGACGGTGAGTGCTCCTGGGGGGATTCCAAAGTATTATGTCATCACGTCGTTGCGTCGTGTATGATGGTGCCCTGCCTTACAGCACACACTATAATCACAAACGCTTCTGTCTTGTGGTCTGGGCGGGATGGGGTCGGATCGGATGGTGCTGAGGGAACAGACAACATTCATTGCGAGCGCTCGGTTGCTTCCGTGGACCGAACCAGCGTGTTGATGCTGTGGTGCATGTCCCCGCGCAGCGGCGCCCGAGACGAACAGCCGCGAGTTTAGCCCCGCTCCTCGGTCCGCGTCCATATTTCCTGCCGTGGTGGAGAACCCTTGAGGCACGTGGCCACCGGGACAGACCATGGACTTTGAGAGACATCAGTTTTGCGTGTGTGGGAGGCCGCTTCTTTCTGTCATCACTCGTGATGACTGAATCATAGTAAGGGGGAGGTTTGGAAAAGGGGAGGAAGTGCGGCGGTGGAAGGTTTTATCTTACGGTTGCGACCGTGTTCTGGTACTGTATCGCCTCGGAGGGGGCACTGCTTCTGCGCGTGTTGCACTGCTGCGCACTCGCCGACTCTACACACCAGAGCGTGTCGACCGTTGCGCGGGCGCGTTGCCCGCCGAGGCCCTCGCCCAGGCAGCCAGGCTGATGAGGGATCTTTCAAACCAGTCATGTTTGGCATGATGACGGTGAGGACGCGGAGGAGCCGGGGGAGGTGACGAGTGGTGAGGTGGGGGATGAGACTGACGCCATGCGACGCCTTTCACTTCGCGCGTGCCCGCGCGACCAAGCAGCCAGGGAACGACATCGGCTGCAATGCTCGTGTTGGTGGTGCGCATGTGGATACTGTCGAGGGATGTCCTTGAGACTGACTTAAGACCGGCTCTTGACTTACGACCGGCTGTTTCGTTCGTTGATCTCTTGGGGGTGCTGCGTTTTGGGTTCAGATGCCACGCAAAGTGTCATGCTCCTGCTTTAACGCGATACTGAGCAGCCATAGTGCTGGTTATCTTTAGTTCGGGATGTTGGAGGTCAAAGGCTGTTGAGGTGGTAGAGTATGGTGGTGGAGAGTGGAGTCATCGTAAATAAGTCGTATCTGCAGTGTGTCTCTCTAAGTTCCCTCGATTAGGGCATTGTGTACTCTCTGGGCATCTTTACATCGGCTATTCGCGTTTTTACGCCGCTTGGACAGGCCATTGGCCCGGTCCTACCGCAGACACTGGCAGGTGGTGGACGGTATGGAGGATGGGGTGGTGGAGCGGAGGGGATTCTCTCACTGGCGCCGTTTGGGCGCCGAAGCCAGCAGCCGCCAGGATGCCAACAGATAGCCACATCCGCCAGCCACTCAGGGCATCTTACATTAGCCCTCGCAGCACTGCCTTCGGTCAGGGCATGGGATAGGGTTGTAGAGGTGGCGGAGGTAGCGGTGGGAGGAACGCTGCCAACAGAATTGCACATCATCCTTCGGTGAGGGCTTTTTCGGCAACTGGCGTACGAAGGGTTTGGGGAAGATGCGTAGGAGGGGGATGAGAAGGAGATGGAATTCACCGTCTGGCTGGCGCAAGCTCTGTGCCCGTGCGGGCCCACTGTCTTTTTCCGTTTCTTCAAGCCCCTCTGTTTGCCGCTGCGCCAGCCAAGTGTAATTTGATCGTCGCATCGCTAAATCGGCAGATTTTTTTTGCACTGCCCGCACTACACGCCGGTCGGAAGATCACAAAACACAGCAGGAGTATATCGACCCTTGAAGTAGGAAGGCGCTTGAAGTAGACTGGGATCTGGGAATCCAAGACTACCTGCTTTCAACGACCATCGCGTAACGCCACAGGCTCTGTCCTGAGGCTTGCCTCTCCCAGAACAGGGCCCCATGGGAGCCCGAGAGAACACGGCGGCAAAGACCTCAGGACCTTTGTGGGCCCTGGAAACGGCAGGGCCGTTTTTTTCACCGTTTCCATAAAAATGTCCCTTGAAAATGGAAACGGCAAAAAAACGGCGACCGGAAACGGCAAAAAAACGGCTCCAGGATTGGAACCGGAGCCAGAACCGGTCAAACAACGGCGACGGAACGAGTAAAGCAACGGCGTCAGAACCGGCGAAAAAAAAAACGGCCAAACGGAACCGGTAAAAAAACGGCCCTGTCGCTTCCAGGGCCCGCTAAGGTTGGGGCCCCCTTTGGACGTCTTGAGGCGATCTTGGGGGTCTCTTGCGCCGTTTTGGAGCGGCGGGAAGTGGAAAAGGCACGCCCACATCTGTAAACAAAAACCAGCGGCGAATCAATGAATTCGGCCTCTTGGGGCCCTCTCGGGAGTGCTTCGTCGAATCGACGCAAAAGACGTATCATGTTTCGTAGATGTGCGAACATTCTCCAGACCCGCTCCCCTCCGGGCCCATGGAACGCGCCCCTCCCCACGGCCAGAGGCGGGGCGGCCCGTCCAGGCCGTTTAGCCGGTTGAAGTGCGCGGCGGGCCGCTCCCCGAAGAGCCACCCGGCGCCGCGCGGGCTCACCTCGCTCGGCCGGTGCGCAGAGCGGCGGCGCCGACGACGACGCCGACGCCGCCGACGACGCCGCCGCCGCCGCCGCCGACGCCGACGCCGGCGACGACGCCGACACCGACGACGACGGGGACGCCGACGCCGACGCCGACGCCGACGACGACGGGGACGGCTACAACGACGACGACGACGACGACGACGACGACGACGACGACGACGACGACGACGACGGCAACGACGCCGACGACGACGACGACAACGACGACGACGACGACGGCGACGACCTCCGCCCCAATCTCCGAAGGCCGCCGGACACCTCCGAAGGCTGCAGAGCGCCGCGGGAGCGGCCCGGGGCGTGATCTGGCTGGAGCTGCACAGGGGCCCAGCCCAGCCGTGGCGACGATCTGGACATCCTGGCGTTTCGAAAAGATCGTGCCGGAAGTTTCTCACAGTGGCCTTGGGAGACCCTCAACGGGCCTGGGGACCGTCAAAACACGACTCGGCACTCCCGAAGAACTCGGTGCGGAAGTCTTTCGTAATTTTCCGTCTCTGAGAACCGTTCTGCCGGGCCTCGGGGCCGCAAGAAAATGACTCGGGACGAGATGCCGGTCCAGGGGAAGTGGTCGAGAGGTCGGGGGCCCGTGTCTCGAAGAAATGGAGACGCCGGATGTCTGGGGATGAAGGGGCCCAGGGGAACATACACACACAAACACAAATAGACACACCTCCCAGGACATTCCCCATGTCTTCCCATTTCTTCCTTGATTTTCGTTGTCCCCATCCACTTCCAATGCCGTCCCGAGTATTCCTTGATCAGCTAACATAACACTTTAACCTATACGGAGGAGGAAAGGAAAAGGGCAAGGCGATGAACGCTCCACAGGTATGGGTGCGTTTTGGGGGAGCCAGTGCGAGCGGGATCCCCCTCCGATCACATGCGACCATAATACCCCCCAAAGTCCACCCCAGGAGTTTTGAGGGACGTATAGGCATTGGTGTTCGCTGTTAGCTCGTGATTCCTGGGGATCTACGTTTACCCGCCGGTCGGAAGAAGTATGTAAAAACATGAAGCAGGAAGGCGGATGAAGTAGATTGGGTTCAGCTCCCCCCAGAAAATAGAACACCTCAATACCATGCCAATTCATGAAGCAGCACGGCCCTTCAAAGAGATGGATCTGGGTACCAAAAGAAAACAAACTTCCAGCGTCCCGTGTGTATCTGCGTCGTTTTTGAGCTCGGACCGACCGTCCCAGCACAGGCCCACCACGAATTCTTCTTAGAACCAACAAATGGTTAAATTACAGCCAGATGTATCTCGACACGGCAGTATATAGTACGACCAGGCAGGATGTAGTACATAAGCCCGATGTATAACGACAGGACAGTCTCAGCCAGAGATGTGCTGAGAAAATTGCGCGCAAGTCACAAAAGGCTCTCAGACAAATCTCTGCTAGGCCTAAGTAGAGACTTCCTAGATGGGGTCCGAGCAAATGGAATTGGAGGATCGCGCCGCATCGCCAATACATCGGCGATGCATCGCCGGCGATGCATCCGTGACGTCGGCGACGCATCGACGACGTCGGCGTGGAGGAAAATCCACATCGAGCCGCATCGCCGATGCATTGGCAATGCGGCGCGATCCTTCGACCCCATCCGCTCCGACCCCATCTAGGAGGCTTACAGTAGGAGCTCGAACAAAAGAACCCTTCCACGAGAAGCCCAACCCTGAGAACCCAGGAAGTCCATTGATGTTTGGCGAGGGTACGTCACGCGTTCCATGGCAAAGCAATCGAAACCCAAGAAACCCAAGGCACCCTGGAGGCAAGCAGGGTGTTTCTTGGTATGGGTCTCCACTGTAGATATAAGAGAACTGCTGCTCGATCTGAGCATTTGTCCCTGCCGAGGGGCGCTTCGCGGGTGCGGCAAACCTGCTGCGAGGCCCAAATCGTCGGACGCCCGAAATGGGTACGGAAAACATGGGTACAACGCTCAACAAAAAATGTTGTCACAAACCATCAGCGGCCGCTGTTTGGCAGGCGGCCGCTGTCACAAAAATAAATGCAAACAAATAACAGGATTCCCAATATTTTCCTATCCTTTCTGGATTTTTGTCTTCCCCTCCACTTCCCATATTTTCCCATATTTTCCTGGGAATCGACGGTGCATTGTGTCTGTGTGTTTTTTCCCCTCCTGAACAATCCGCAGCGACGCTGGCAGCGAACCCTGTTCAAAATGAACGAGAACTGCTGTCGGTCTCTGTGCAACTTCTCTCCGTGCCCACGTCGATCGTCCCGAAGGTCGGGCCGGCAGATGCGCCCCGCGGATCCGCCGCCGGCCGGGTCCGAGGCCCGCGAGCGGGCCAGCGCACGGCTCCTCGGAGATCCTGGCGTCCAAGAAAAGCAAACAAAGAGATTCAAAAAAAAAAAATATCATAACCACAAAATCGTCCCCAGACAAACTTTTATTATTTTTGAATATTCCTCCTGTGAAAGGGCATGCTCGACTTAAGGGTGCACTTCGGTTGACCCGACATGGGGTCCAGCTGAAAGGGGGTGGTGCGCCAAGTTTGCGGCAGCTCCAATGCAAATGTACTGCGCCGGAGAACGGTACTGCAGTTTGTTGCAACTACTGCAGTGCACGCGAAATTCCAGCAATACACTTTTGCACCGGAATGTATCGCACACCCCAAATCTATGGCAGCCCCCGAAATCTATTGCGCCATATCTGTTGCACCACCCCCTTGCCGCTGGGGTCAACCAGATACACACGCCGCAAGGGTGGGGGGGAGGAGGGGGGGAGGAGCGAGAGAGCGAGAAGCGAGAGCGAGACGCGAGAGCGAGAAGCGAGGCAAGCGAGAGCGAGAGCGAGAGCGAGAAGCGATGCACAAAATCATCTGGCAGGAGACTGCTGGCGCGCGCCGGGGCGCGCTGGGCGTGGCGTCCCAGCCCGGGGCTCTCGCTCGAGACGACCCCCGGAATTCGAGCCCCCGGCGCGCGAGAGAGCCAGGCCGAACGCCGCCAGCAACTGTTGCTGGGGATTTGCCGGCGGGCGCGTCCCAGTCTGGGGCTCCCACACGAGACATCCTCGCAGCAGAGTCAACCCAGGCGGGTCCCAGCCCGAGTCTCCCGCGCGGGGCACCCTCGCAACGTCGCCGACTCGCCCACCGAAGGAGGACCCGAGGACGATGACCAGGGTGAGCAGGGAGGAAGACGTAGGAGAACGGAGGAGGGGAGGAGGAAGGAGAGGAGGAGGAGGAGGAGGAGGAGGAGGAGGAGGAGGAGGAGGAGGACGAGGAGACGGATGATGGTGATGATGATGATGATGATGATGATGATGATGATGAGGAGGAGGAGGAGGAGGAGGAGGAGGAGGAGGGACTGGACTGGACTGGAGCTATCGCAAGGCGATGAGAACGTCAACCTGCCAACACAACGAGAGAAATCGGCTTGGGCTAGGCTGACTCTTGGCCCAGTTGCCCTCGAGAATACATTTGATATACTCGGCTCTGGTGGGTGTGGGAGAAGCATGGCACTCGTGACCCAGAGATCTGAGCTGGGCCGTCCCGTACACCCACACTCCGAACAAAACCAGAGCCCCAACGTGTTATGATATAACCTGGTGTGGCTAGAATGTGTGAGCCCGCCCCCCCCCCCTATATTATATCTATATATATATATATATATATATATATATATATATATATATAAAAATAAGTGGTGTGACCCCTCGGCAACATCAAGACATCCGAATTGTGCTGAGAGATCAAGGCTACAAACGGGGAATTACGGAAAGCAACGGCGGCATATTGAGCCGCCCCCATTTACACCTGGCACAGCTCCTACCATCGTCCGACAACTCGTGCTGGGACGCAAAAACGAAAAGAGCCGCTGGGGATGGGGGGGGCAAAAAACCTTTTTGACTGGCGGGGACCTGCGATCGGCGACCACCGAATCGAGATGAGCACGGAGGAGCCTCTTTCGGACAAGACAAGCTTTGTGCTCGAGTTGGGAACTCGTGAAACGAATATTTTCGGGCAACCTGCTCGCACCAGCTGCTGAGCCAGCACTCTCGTCGACGGCCACATTCCCCAGGATCACGCAAAAAGGGTGAGTTCCCGAGACGGCCTGGGCCGGGGAGAGGTGAGACGGCACTTGCAACAGAACTATTTCATCGAATTCCATGGATGTGCGAGGCGACCCAAGCTCCGACCACAGGTCCTGATTCTCGCCACTCATGGTGAAATATCTTTGCCGTACCACCCTGCACTGACCGACTCGTTACCGGTCACAAAAAACATGAAACCTCTAGAATACGAAAGTCCTAGAATCATTTGTTTGAGCTCACCCCTGGGGACCGATGGCTTGAGCCCCGTGAGCGGACCACGGATGGAGACCCTAATCTGGAAAGGGGAACAACTGGAAACAGACAGAGCGCCCAGACCAACACGCCTTAGCCTAGCATCCCGAGGCTCCGTACCACCACCAGCATCCCCAAGAATGAAAGCGAGAGCCTCAGGGGAGCCTTGGCCGAGCACAGGGGTGCCCAACTCTGAGGCACCAGAGGGTCCAAGAGCGCTCAAGCGGAGGGGAGGTAACTCTGGTCCAGCTAGCGGGGCTGATCCCTCGGAGCCAAAAGCAGGGGAAGGCCTCGGACTGTACCATGGCCACCGCTAACGATCCTGGATCCTTCTCCTGGTCCAGGCTCCACCTGCTGCGATACAAAGCATGAGTTCTGACAGCTGGTGGCCGTGGCGAGCAGTCCCCAGGGCCTTCTCGACATTCCTGTAAGAGAACTGTCAGCACCATCCTGCAGGCCTTCGCCACAGTGGTGGTTGGCTGCTGTCCTCCGCTGGGCAAGCCTGATGGTATCCTCGAACTCGGTCGCCAAACTGGACACGTCACCGTTGGGGCCGAGCTGGTCGCACATGGATGCTTCACGGCCCTCCGATCCTGCAGGCATGGTTCCCCACTCCGTCGGGAGGACTGGATCCCATCCGTACTGGATGAGGTGGCAGACTGGGGCAGGAAGGGGGCCGCGAACGCGTCGTGGGCGCAGAGAGAGAGAGAGAGGGATGGAGGTGAGCTTGGCAACCACCCCTGGAGATACCTGCACGTCACTTCGGCTCCGTCTGCCATGTGTGCGGCCAAAGCCGTACTGAATTTACTGGGAGACGATAAGCAGGATCCATGTTCGGGCAGCGCATGTCTAGGATTGTGGTGAGGCACCGCCCTCGCAGAGCGGATGAAGCAACCTGGCCTAGCTTGCGCATCATGGTCTGAAAAATGTTCCCAACAATTCCATACATATGATGTCCGTAGTGGGCGGCTGGTTGCGCCCTAGCATGCTCTACACGTGGAGCCGAAGAGTATATCCCCGAATCCCTCGCGAAACGAGCGATGCGTGTGGTAGGAGGAGGAGGAGGAGGAGGACAAGGAGGAGGACGATGAGCAGGCGGAGGAGGAAGAGAGGGAGAGAAGGAGGAGGAGGAGGAGAATTGGAAGGAGGAAGAGAAGGACGAGGAGATGGTGAAGGAGTAGGAGGAGGAAGAGGAGGAGGAATGAAGGAAGTGGAGGAGGAGTCGGAGGAGGAACGTCCTCAAGGGACCGCACGGGATGTCCTGGGAGGACGTGGAGGAGAAGGTGGAGGCTGCCAGCATGGGAGCGGGAGGGGCCGGATGCCCCCCCCCCCCTCCCGCTCATGCTCCTCTCGCCCAGAGGGACACGCCCGATCTTCGATGTACAATCAGACCTAGGACAGAAGAACATCCTTCAAGAACATGAGACCCTCCGCCGGCCACCCAGGGTGCACAACAACCTCCAACAAGCACGAACAAACATTAGGGTACCCGCCTGGAGCCAACCTCGATATCACACCTCGATCCGACCGTACAGACTCTCTCGATCGACCGCAGGGCGGCCAGCCCGTATATTAGGATGTATGCCGCACCACACGCTACACATGAGAATGCCAGAATCCACTCTTTGCGGTCAGCACTGTGGCACGTTGTGTCGCATCTTCGCCAGCTTGGTCTTAAAAGCGCCCAGCACGACCCCAAAGCCCGCGAGGCAGACCCTGTAGAAGCAAATAGCCCCCCGAAGGGGCCCAAGAGGCCCCCTAAGACGCCCCCAAGAGGGGCCCAAAGAGGGCCTACTCGAATTGACGTTTGGAAATCCCTCACCCCGAGAGAGCCCCCGATACACCCAGCCAAGCCCACAAGACACCCCCAAGAGGCCCCCAGAGAGGCCACCGAGAGGCCTTCCAAGAGGTCGTCCAATATCCCTTCCAACAGGCACACATGAGGCCTCTTCTCCACGACCCAGGCGGAGTGGGCCGAATGCCACTATGCAGGTAGGTCATGTTCTGCGGCAACTCATGGGAGCCACCTTGTTTGCTCTTGCAAATCGACGATGCAAGACGCTAAATCGGCACCACTCGAGGCTAATCGACGCTAAATCGGCGCAATCTCACCGATTACCAGACGCTAAACGACGCGAGTGCACTCTAAACACAAGATTACGAGGGTGCACAACGCTCCCATGATTTGCCACTGAAGGTTGTGTGGTATCATCTGGACATCCTCTTGCGCTGCATACCAGGCGCCCTCTGCAACTGAAGATCCTGCTGCTACTCCTAACCTCAACGCTGCATTCCCTTGGCTCTGTCATTCCCAGCAGGCACCGCCCACGTCTCGATGTCCTTGCAGGGGCGCCACAAGCGGCTTACGCATACGTGCTCTTTGCAAACGGCGGTGCTGCAGGAGGCAAAGACCAATGAAGATGACGAGTTAACGCAAACTGTAGGCCGTGAAAATAAACGGACAGATTGGATTCCTCCTCCCCCTCTACGCATCCTCGTCTGGCCTGGCTGGGCAAAGCAGCTACCAAGCAAGACATGTAAACATTGAAAGATCGCACTACTATCAAGCAAGCTGCACGTCACAGCACGGGCACAACCTACTGGTTCCCACTGTCATGGCTCTCTGGCGCCTCTTCATCGTCACACTCCGTACGTATCCGTCCTCCAAAACTGAAGGGGTTGGTGTTATGTGATGTGATATTGGATAGCTCGGTTTGGCAACCAGAAGCGCGCACACCCCGTCAGCAACTCAGGCTTCACCGAGGTCACGGCGTAGCCACGTCGATGACCTCAAGACCACGGCTTGGCCGCGGCCAACACGGCCATGGTCGTGCAGTCCTCAAGACGTGGCTCCGAACCTGCCTCGTGCCAAAACGAACCCCCACAGAGATCCAGCGCCGAGGAGGAGGTCAGGTCAGGCGTGCAGTTCAGATCTGCACGGGTGGCCACACGACAGCTCACCGCGCTGCGCTTCTGCTCCCCCATGCGTGGATCTGGAGTTAGGTCGGGCATGCCCTCTCCTACAGGCGGGTTTTGGAAGAGAAATGAAACATTGACAGAAATATTCAAAAATGCTCAAAACTAGCTGAAATTTGTGCCCCGACATTTTTTTTACTATTTTTGCGTGCTGGAGTAGGGCATGGCGATACATGCCCGACTTAAATCTGGAGTGGGCATGGCGATACATTTGTGGCGAGCGCCGCACCACGACCAGCGATCTCCGAGATCGCATAGCACAGGGAAGGCACAGGCCCTCCGGCCGCACCTCTGACCCCATCATGCCATCGATGTCGCTCTGCGGACTGGGGACTGGCACCGCAGACGGCGGCGGCGAAGGGAGGGGAGGGAGGAGGGGAGGAAGGAGGGGGGGAGAGAGGGGGCGGGAGAGAACGGAAGCGACGATGGGAGGAGAAGAGAGAGAACGACAGAGAAGGAGGGGGAGACTCGCAGGAGATTCCTGAAAGCGACTCTGTGGAAACGGGAGGAGGAGTAGGGAGGGGGGGAGGCGGAAGGGGGCAGGTGAGGAGGACCCCCTCGGCCAAGCTGGCCCAGGGAGGCCGCCAAGGGCAATGCGGCGCGTCCTCCGGATCGGACCACACCAGGTCCCCGAAGGGGCCCTCGTGCGGGATCTCCTGTCGCGCCCGGAGAGCGGGAGAGCGAGGAGCACGAAGAGGGATCGAACTCCGCGGAGGGAGGCCTCCACACAACCTGCCGGCGCTTGGCGCGGAGTTCTCGGCTCGGCGCGGGGCACCCCTTGGCGGCGCCCCCGGCGCCGCCCCTGGCGCGCTGTGTACGCCAGGAGGGGGTGTCCACCGCAGGTCCCAGAAGTCCGCGCAGAGCTCCTGATGCATGATCTGTTTGATCATGTTCTGCTTGATGATGATGTTTGATGTTGGATGTTTGATCTGTTTGATCATGCTCTAAATGTACGGACATGCATGATCTGTTTGATGCTCTGCAGTTCTGCTGATTTTGGGTGTCTTTGGCGGGCTTCTCGTCGCCACGAGCTTTTGACTCCCATCGAAAGTCTGACAAAGCGCCTGCCGGGAGGAGGTCGAGGGGCAGCTGTGCGGCAGAGGAGGGATCAGAAAAGACGCGTGCAGAGAGGAGGGAGGACAGAGGTTGAACGATGAAGAAGAGGGGACGGGAAGAGGGACTGGTCATTGCACTGCCCATGTGGCGAAAGGCCCCTCGGAGCACCGCGAGCGTCACCACCCCCAAGGGCCTGTGGGTCACCGGAGGCCTCCAGTGTCTCCGCGGTAATCCAGGTTGTCAGAGGCCTGCGGAGGCCTCAGGAGACACGACGGAGTCCAACGACGTCCATAGAAGGCGCTGATCCTCGAGCCTCGATCCTGGGGGAGGAGAGGGCGAGGGCAGGACGCGAAGGAAGGGAGAAAAGGAAGGAAGAGGGACGGGTGCTTTTCTGGACGCGTCAAGCCCCGGCCACACAGAGGTACCAATGCCTTGGTATACGGAAGGGCCCGAAAACCAAAACCCATCCTGAGCCTGATGTGGTCCTTATCTCAGCGTCTTAGCCGCAATTCGGCAAGGGTCGACCAAAACAGCGATCTGTATCGTCGTCGCGCGGTCGCTGCGAAACGTCATCCATCAAGTCCAGGTTCCCCAGAGCAGCTTTTCGGCTTACCTTCTGGAGTCGAGGTCGGCTCCCGATGACACCAGAACGGGAACCTATCAACAGGTAAGTCAGGACAAGTGCCCACGATGCTGTTTTTCCTGAACGGCGTCTTCGTACACACCTGCAAGTCGGAGCCTGCTTGGCACACCGGAAGTGGGGACGGACAACAAAAAAATCTGCCGATGCCCAGACAGCAAATGCTGCTCAAAACCGACAGCGTTCAATGATGGGCAGGCGGCGCTTCGTCTAAGTTGGGGCAAGCGGCGCTTGTCTAATTGCTATTAATATTCTTCCCTAGGATATGGCAACTCTGCATAAACAGAATAACTTTCGGAGGTTCGAGGGGATCTCTTGAATGGGCGCTGGAACCCTTTCCCTGGCGCGCGGAGCGCGCCAGGGCTGGCGCCAGAGGCGCCGCCATGGGGCTTCAGCGGTGATCCAATGAATACGCGAGGATGAAGTTGATTATGCAGACTTTCCTTCTTCGACTGCTGTCGGTCTTCGTCCCCATCCTTTGTAGTCCCCATCACCTCCTGCCTAATTAAGTGGATCCCCCTCTCGCCACAGCAACCGGGAGGCACGCAACCTGCCCCAGGCAACCACACGTAAGCCGCATCGCCTGCAATTCAGTCATGCACCGAAGCTTGAGCAGGGACCGACCGTCCCGGCATTCCTATAGTCCTACCACGAAATGTTCTTGGTTCCCAGAACAAAAACAATGTTCTTAGAACAAATTCCCGGTGCGTTAAAAAAAAGACTGTCCCAGCCAGAAATGTTGTAAGAACATTTCCTGGAAACCACAAAAGGTTCTTAGTACATTGTTTGGTAGGGCTAGAGGCGAGCCAGGACGCTTCGCAACTGCTTGAGAAACGCCGAAGCACCGTCGGGGGGGGGTCGGGGCGGGAGGGAGGCGGAGGCGGTGGGGGGGAAGGAAGGGGGGAGCGGGGAATGAGGGAAGTGGGGGAGGAGGAGGAGGAGGAGGAGGAAGAGGAGGAGGAGGAGGAGGAGAAGGAAAAGGAGGAGAAGGAAAAGGAGGAGGAATAGGAGGAAGAGGAATAGCTGCAACCAAAAGGAACACCAACAGGGGTGTCCAATACGTAATTCCCATCGCAGTGGCGCAGATCCCGATCCCCTGAAGGGGATGATCTTCGTCGAAGTCGTGCTCCCGATGAAGGTCTCTCCGATCCCCCGCGCCCCATGATGGACCCTGGGTGCTCTCGGCTTGTTTCACCTCCCAGCGATCCTGGACCCGATTGATGACCCGGACCTGGTCGAGGATGTTGACGTCTGGAGACAGGCCGCCGTGCACGCAGAAGATCGAGTTCTCCTCGAAGCGAGGCGAGAGAGGAGGAGGAGGGGAAGTGGGGAAGACAGTTGCGGGTGCATTCCCGCCTCCATCGCATGCCGCTCGAGGCGGCAAGCCACACCAGCATCCTCCTCGTCCGCCCCCTCGTTCCCGATCCGTGCCACAGCCAGCCGCTGGGCGGAGCGCTAACGAGGAGGGCGAGTGGCTGGCTCTGCCTGGCACCGAGCCGTGGCTCGGAGGCAAAGGGGGAGGGCTGAGAGGTGTCACCCGATTATCCTGGAACGCATGAAAACCGTCCCCCGCCCCCCACATGATAAACTTTCAACCAACTAGACCGCGCGCGCGGGACCCCCTCCCTGCGGCAGCTGGCAATGGCCTCGCTTACAGGGCGCCTGCACTTGCGCATATTCGCCCGAATTGCAAAACGTTGGCATGAAACATCCTTTGCTGTGGGGGCTGGGGTCGGTTTCCCACTGTTCAATCCTCATCAGTCTTCGCCGTGGGCACTTGCGGGAAGGACCAGCCCGGCGAGGCACCACCAAAGCATCGCATCGACCCCTCCCCCTATGTCGAGAGCGTTCTGGGGTGAGGCCAGACTCGTCCCGAACGGAAGCCGGAGAGCTGCGCTCTGGCCCGAACAACACCCGGGGCGGCTTACGGTCACAACTGTAGATAGAGGAACAAACAAACTGCATAGGCATGAACTTTCGGAGCTCCCTTCTGATTTCTTGAATCGGCGCTGGAGGCGCCGCCAGGGGAGTCCAGCGCAGATCCTGGAAACGTGCGCGGAGCTCTGAAAGTGTATGGAGAAGTGGAGAGTGCCAACGGTGCTGGAACACACGCAGGGGTGAGGGGAATCGCTTGGGGGGGACTGGCTAAAGGGGGGAGATCATCGACCTGGAATCGCCGCATACCGCTGCAGACATTCCTTGGGCTGACGATGGGAGCGTGTGAATAAACCTCAGAGTACACGCACATCGAGGACGAGAAACCTGCACGAACAGTAACTTTCGGAGCCGCGCGCGGGTGCGTCGCCACGGGGCCCGCCAAGAAACCCGCGCGGAACTTCGAAAAATCATTTTTCTACCGGCCTTGTGTGTTCGTGACATCCGAACGCAAGGGCCCCTGCTCATTTGCGAGTCCAGGCCCGTGACCATGGCGGTGCCAAGGGGGGTCACCACTAGAATTAGGTCGGGCGAGAAACTCAAAATACGCAAAGAATCATCCAACATACTCGAAGCATAATCAAACCATTGTCCCCAGACTATGTTTTGACTGTTTTTGAATATTCCTCCTGTAGAGGAACAGGCCCGACTTAACACTAGAGGGGCCGCCACTCCTTCGAGGAAGCGCAGTCTCCATCCTCGGCGGCGAGCGAGGGGTGGAAGTGAGAAGGAGAAGGTCGTCTCAGAAGGTTCGGAAGTCCCCCAGCCTTCTGAGAAGTTTTCGGAGCCTTCCCCGAAGACACAGCAAACTTCTCAGAGGGCACGAGAGCTTCTCAAAAGTCCCGCGGCCTTCTGAGAAGGCCTTCTCCTTCTCACTTCCCCCCCTCGCTCGCCGCTGACATCCAGGAGGTGGGGCTCCCAGAGCACCCCCAGGGCCCCCCGAGCGCAACCCCAGACGTCCGGAGCCCTCCAGGAGCCCTCCAGGAGCTTCGACCCGGGAGCCTTGGTCCTCAGGAGGAGCTGGTGACCCTCCCGGCGGAGATCCCCCTCGGCGCCGAATGACTAAAAGTGTGGATACCACGACAATGGACACCCTAACAGTCCTATCATTGAACTTACAATGTGTTTAACATGTCGGAAAAAATGTTCTAAACATGTTTTTCCCCATATCCTAAGAATGGGGTTCTTGTTATTGGCAGACCGCGCCGGAGGAACACAGGAACACCCTCACCCCCTCTGACTCACGCATCACTCAGACTCACTCATCACTCGGACTCAGTCATGACCCAGACTCATCACTCATCACTCAGACTCACTCATCACTCAGACTCACTCATCACTCAGACTCACTCGTACTTGTACTCATACATTCACTACACTCACTCAGGTCCACTCATCGGATGACTCACACACACACACACTGATGTTGAGGATGTATCAGGCGATTCGCTCGTTTCAGCACTCTAAGGGGAGCGGCGGGGGGGTATCTCACGGGATCCCGTTCGCGGAATTTTGTGGGATGTCTCGAGCGGTTTGCCTGATTTCTGTCCCAACATCCTTCGCTTTCGGAGCAGATTTGGAGGATGTCTCGAGCGAGGCGCTCATTTTCACGTTCCTAACGGGAGCGGCGGGGGGGTATTGCACTCGGCCCCTTTCGCGGGATGTTGTGGGGATGTCTCGAGCGGTTTGCCTGTTTTCTGTCCCAACATCCTTCGCTTTCGGAGCAGATTTGGAGGATGTCTCGAGCGAGGCGCTCATTGTCACGTTCCCAAGGGGAGCGGCGGGGGGGTATTGCACTCGGCCCCTTTCGCGGGATGTTGTGGGGATGTCTCGAGCGGTTTGCCTGTTTTCTCTGCCAACATCCTTCGTTTTCGGAGTAGATTTGGAGGATGTCTCGAGCGAGGCGCTCATTCTCACCCCCCAGGTGGGCCAGATGTTGAGGATGTCTCGATCGGTTTGCTTGTTTTGGTGGCCAGGCTCGTGGGCGCAGATTCCTCTCAGGATGCCACAGGAGGCTCCAACAGGCTCCAGGAGGCCCCAGGAGACCATATGAGGTCCCAGGAGGCATCAGGAGGCCACAGAAAGACTCAAGAGGCGCTCCAGGAGGCCCCAGGAAGCTCCAGAAGGCCTCAGGAAACCACAGGAGGCCCCAGGAGGCAACAGGAAGCGCCACGAGGCCTCGGAAGGCAACAGGAGGCCCCGAGAGGCCCCAGGAGCAGGAGGCCTCAGAAGGCAACAGGAGTGGCTCCAATCCCATGTGTTTTACGTATGCTCCTATCGATTGGGCCTCACCTGGAGCGCGATTCTTTGATGTTATACGTGTTTCTATAGATTGTCCTTCTCCAGTGTACACAATCCTACATTTTTACTTATGTTCCTATATATCGGGCCTCTCCTGGGGCACGAGTCCTTGGTGTTTTACGCGTGTTCCTATAGATTGCCCTTCTCCTGTGGCTCTAATCCGCAATGTTTCCTGGGGCACGAAACCTCCCGAGGAGGTCCCAGGAGGCCCCAAGAGGCTCCTGGAGACCCCAGGAAGCCCCAGTAGGTTTCAGGAGGCCCCAGGAGGCCCCAGGCTCATGCACAAAGACGCGCTCGTACTACTGAGGCTCATTCACACTCCAATTCATTCGCAATTAAATTTATGCCCAGACCGTCACAACTGAAGCCCGTGTATATTCGAAACTCTTGCGCCTAGACATTCACGGCGGACAGGTCCATGCGAATAGATGCACATATGGGGAGCTCCACGCAATGAATAATTACATGTTTAAAACATATTTACCACATGTTTTAGACATCTGGAAACTGTTTGGAAACATGCTTCCTCTCCATTGATCGTCCTCCACAAAACTAAGGGACACCAGGGGGGCGCCGGGGCCAAAGTGGGGGGTGGGGGAGGCTAAGAGCTAAAAACGAACCCACGAACGCAACAACATCGGACCCGGACACATTGGGGATGTCTGAGATCCGGCGGTCCTGGACGATGCATCAGGCGCCGCGGCCTGTCCAAAGCGCTCCAGAAAACCCTGGAAGCGTTCAATGCTCTGGAGCGATCTACCCCGATCCTAGACTTGGATGCTCATTCTGGGGACCTTCCTGGAGACACTCGCTCCACTCGTGCGTCGAAGCTGCGTCGAACGTCCGTCGATTTGGAGTCGAACAGATACGTCAGGTGGGCCCCAGGAAGGTCCCCCAACCGAGCATCGAACCAGACTGAGACGCACCGAGGCGCTGGACGGGGGCGTCCCTGGGCCCGTCCTGGGAGGCCTGGAAATGGGCACCAACACCAAGACAGAGGGCTGCCTCCACAGGGGGGAGGTGATCCTAGATTTCGGTGTTGGTGGTAATATTTCGGCCACCTTGGACGCCAGAATATGACCACCATCACCGAGATCGGGATCCTCTTCCCTCGGTGGAGGAACACCGCCGATCTTGGTGTTGGCGTCAACCTCCAGGCCTCCGACGTCCTGGGCGCCCGACACCGAGGGATGAGGCCACACGAAGGGGGGGAGAAAGAGAAAGCATCGACGGCATGCCGCCGGAGGGCCCATCCTCCATCTTCCGCTGAAGAACACGACGACGACGACGACGACCACGACGACGACTACGACGCCGACGACGACGACGACGACGACGACGACAACGACGACGTCGTCGGCGCCGTCGTCGTCGTCGGCGCCGTCGTCGTCGTCGTCGTCGGCGCCGTCGTGGAGGAGCAGCACACGGACGGGCTCCCAGCGGCGGCGCGTCACCGACAGGCTCCCCGAGACCCGACGCTGCGAGGGAGCGGCAGCCCCGCCGCACACGCATCACACCCGGGAGCCCTGGACCCGGAGGGGCAAGGGGAAAGCGACACCAACAACACCACCAGGGACCACCAGCGCGCGAGAAGCCAGGGGTGCTCCCCCCTCTGCCCTGACTCCTGATCCGCCCTACTTTGGGCGATTTCGAAAGTAGGGCGGAAATTTCCGCCCTACTTTTGAGGCCCCTTTGAGCGTCCATTTCCGCCCTTGAGGCTCCTTTGGCGTCGATTTCCGACACAATTTTAGGTCGGAAAATCATCCAAAGTACGGCGGATCAGGAGCCAGGGTGGTGTGGTCCCCCCCCTCCTGCTCGTGGCGTCCCCTCGCCCCAGTCTGGGGAGGCATCGTGGAGCTCCTCGCTGCGCTGGAGGTGGCCCCCTGGTGGGGTTGGTGTCGCTTCTCCTTCCCCCCAGGCCCAGTCGTGCTGCTGCATTTGTGGAGCTGAGTCTGACTGCGATGGCCCCGGGGCCTGGCACCCAGCGAAGAGCCTTGGTGTGAGACCATCGCAACGCCGAGATCTCAGGGCCTTCTTCCCTCCCAACGCAGGTCGGCGGC